TCATAGAAGAAATTAGTGTTTGAACAGTTGTAGATACAGGTGAACACAATTTGACTCCTAGTCTGCAAATATTTTTGTGCTTTGGAATTTCACAGTCTTGCATCCCTTAAGGAACATTGGGAAACAAATTTTACAAAGTTCACAATATTTAGAAGTGCAGCCGCAGTAGTTAGTACTAAAAGTTTTTCCCACTTGATGTATGTAATGATCTAGTAGTTGACATAACCAGCAGTTGCAGGGGTAGTATGAAGTCGACTCCATTCAGTCTTTATGTGCTAACCTAAAAGTAAAATCGGTATCAGATTGAAAGGAATTGTTAGGCGAACAATCAGTCACACTTGTTCCATGATGCGCAGCTGCACCGTGAATTTGCGAAGATTCCAGTGTATAATCCACCTGGCTAGTCAGGATGCTCAGATCCAGTTATGTGCTTGCGTATCAACATTATCTTTTTAAAGGCTCAAGGCAACGAAGAAGGTTTTTGCAGTAAAGTTTTATTGGCTAGTAGTTCTGTTTCTGCTGCTTTGTAGCCACAGAGTGCTCTTCATTGTTCCCCTACCAGTATACTAGTGAGCGAGATCTCATTATACTTCCTCCTTTCACGCAGTGTTATTTTCTATGACAAGTCGAACACACCTAAAAACCCTTTTAATGACTGAATTCCAACAGTATCCCTCAATTATGTGAAAGATGTGGCCAGCAGACCGTTACGTGATACGCTACCTACAGTAGTCAGGCGCGGTGCTCATCTGGATTCTATGGGAATCCCAAATCGCCCATGCGTAAGCAAATAAAAAAATTCGACGAGTTGAGGGATTATCTCCATGGAGTGTAGCAGTTCTAGTCAGTTGTCAGTACCAAATAATCACTAGTTCGAGATGGAATGTTCGACTTCATATGTATCTGCCGCGCGGAAATTCTTGATGTTGTCACAGAACAAATCTCAAGCCCAAATAATCAGACCGTTTATGTCAATAATTATACAATAATAACAAGATGACAACATCGGGAGTTGCAAACAGTATAACCGCCAAGGGAACAACGGAATCAACGAGCAGAGGTAAACAAGTGGGTACATAACTCAACCAACAAGACAGAAACAAGTGGGCGACGCGAGAAGTGATGAGATACCCAATAACTGTAGCAAGGAACAATGAATAACTGAGACATCGGAGGGAAAAGACATAATGTAAAACTGGGGTTGAGGTTGGTTATATGAATGGACGGCTTGACAATCGAATACTACCAAAAGAAGTACTACACAAGCAGAAAATGGAGAATGTAATAGCACTACTTCAGCAAAATGAAAGATAGCTGAAGGTACTGTTTATATACGTTTGCCAATGGATGGAGTATTACTCGAAGACGCTAGAGTTAACGCTGAAAAAAAAAATGGAAAGTTTTTCAGTTTGCATAATATGACTGCGCTGCTTCATCAGAAGTTCTTGCTAAGGTGACACCACAGCTTGTGCCGAAAGTTCAAGTGAAAGCGATCGTACAGAAAGTTCATGCAAAAACGATACGATAGCACGAACAGAAAGTCCACCAGATGAGGATAAAATAACCTGCATAGAATATTTATACGAATTTCATTAAGATCTAGAAAACTAGTTGAGAAACAAGCAAAACGAAGGACCCGGGTGGTATAGTGGTGAAGTGCGCTGCTCCCGGTGAGGACAACAACGCGCGTTCGTTCCTCACCGCATACACCTGCGGTCCGGAGTTTTGCAAGTATCTCAGCATTATATACTAGGTAAAAAACTGTTTGCGTTCGGTCATACAGTTATAGGTCAAAACTCCTAGACTCTTATTTTCCACTAATTTTGGGTCCTGGCCAACCAGTGACAAGTTGATACATGCGCCAACGCCGTCGATTTCGTGGAGTCTGCGAAAGCAGGAAACTCGCCCGCAATTTAAAACCCAGCAATGCTCGTTTTTTTGAGAATAAACGATAAGTTTTTTTAGCTAGAGGAATTTTTCGGTTGATAACATCACAGAATTACAGAAGCGATTTTGCTTTATCCATCTAGGAGTATAACATTGGTGCTACATTTCGCTAGAGTGGGCCGTCCAAACCCATTGCTGTCAACCCAAGGAAGTATTATAGAAGCTACTCTGTATTTATATTTTACTTGGTCCGTGTCCACATCTATTGCACGAATCACTGAACATCATTGCATTTCATTCGCCTTCTCGCATCCATGATCCACGAATGTCTTCAAACTCCTTGCGTGTGGGCTCGGCTGCAAATTCAGAAATTTTCGCCTTCGTTATGTCGTTGAATGGTGGTCGTGTCAACTTTCTCTGGAGTACTGGGATAGTCGTGCTAGAGGGAGAGTAAGCCGACCTCGGACAAGTCTGATACCAATTTCTCAACCCTGGAGGGACGGGAGGTTTGGGGCAGAGTCGAACCATCACCGTGCTCATGATGATTGGCATCAATACTACTGCGCTACCCGGCCTTCATTTAGTAATTTGTACTTAATCTAATTCAGTATATTTTGCATCCTCGTACTCTATACCATGAGCACGAAACGACCCATAATAATAATTAAAAATTGACAAGAAAACTCCTGTTTTCTTGTCAACAAGGAACTCTCGATTCCGATTGCTTTTGTTTCAATTGATAATCTCAATTGTGATGGAATGGATAGCATAATGGTGACGATACCGACCATCTCCGTGATCACCAAGCCTCTCATCCTCTCCGAAGTCGGGAAATCGATACCGAGCTTGTCCGGGAAAAATTCACGCCCTACAGATCAAGTGAAAACGCTCTAGCCCAGCTATCTTAGGACTCCAAGGAGAGGCTACTCGACCACCACTTTGCGACATTAAGTATGAAACGAAAATCGTCAAGCAGAAGCTGAAAGTGCATGTAAAAAATGTAAGAGCTTCGTAAATGGTGCATGTGAAGAAGCCAGCTAATCGAATGTGAGAAGCGATGGGATCTGCACAGTAGACGTGAAAGATTGGTCGTATAAAATACATAGAAGCTTGTGAGCTGAGGCACGCTTGCTAAAATGCGACTACGTTCAGGCACCTAAGATCATCCTCTGAATAAGTGCTATCGACCTCTTTCTTTGTTTCCTATCCCTCTTTATTAACCATCTCAATATTCATTTCATCGACTTCAATCGCTGTCGTGGACCTCCTTTTTCACCGTTTTGTATTAAATTTCCAAGTCAAGAATTGTTAGATACCATAGTTTTCGATCCTTCCCATCTACAGGATCGGTAAATTGGTTCCAGAGTTGTCTGGAAATCTTCCACGGATCCATAGGACAAAACGGCACCCTCGTAAGGTTATCCAAGGTTTTGAATAAGAATTGACTCGACCACTGCTCAAGGATATTCATAAGAAACAAAAATACTTGGGCAGCGTCCGACACCACACGCAAGAGCTTCAAAGATCTCCGTGGATGATGGATGAGAGAGAACGAATCGAATGCAGCAAGTTCTGGTATACGCATAGTGTCACGCGTGTGATGTGATCATGTGAAGAAGATAAAAGCACTAGATTTGAGCCATACCAGCTTACCGAAACTCAAATTTCGATCTCAGTTTACTTCTCAATACATAACCGACAAGAGGCGGTACAAGATTAGGCCGCTAATAGAGCTTATTAACAGGACAAACCTGGATAGACCATGTGTTTTGACGAATCCGCTGCACAGTTTAGAAACAGAGTCACGTTCCCGCACTGAAAGCACTTGCACGGATTTAAACAACTCAGAGTGCTCTCAAGAAGGTGGGTACACCTACAGAGGTCTAGTTCATACTGGTAGCAATCCCCTCACAGCTTGAGATGTATGAAACACAAGTGTTCTTTCAGCCGAAGACATACCGTGGAGAGGGAAGGCCTTATCGCCAACTGTGGGAAGAAAGAAGAGACTTCCCCAGTGTGCTATCCACCAGGAATTGAATACGGGAGAGTGGATAGCCCAATTAAAGCAGAGCGATGCTTAAGCTTAAATACAAAGGGTCATTATCTCATTGTGATCTCAACAGTTCATGACATAACGTTTCCCCTAACTCGTCAAAGCCTCATTTAACTGTTTCTAACTATTAATTGTAGAAAAGAATTGCAATTCGCTTGTAATGCTGTTACTAGTTTTTCTGGAAACTATTGTCTGACGTTAACGTGTATTTTAAAACAGCATATCTCAGCTCAAAATAGATTTTATTAATCGAATTAGAAACATTAAAATCTACAACCTTCTGCCAAATAGGAGCAGTTGCATAAAGCTTTGGTTTTCTGGAGGCGGTGGAGTAGTCCAATGCAATTTGCGCATAGCTTGTACAGGTCGTCACTTTAGTCCTTCGAAATTTTAACAGCTTAGTATGGCCCTGAAAGTTAAGTAGCCTCTCCGTACTTGTCCTACTCAACGTTGTCATATCGGCGCCTCATTCAGGGTCAGCAAAATGAGGGTGGTTTATTTCACGCCGTTTAATGGCCGAAGAAGCCTAACGTCGCTGTTGGTCCAACATTAACTTGGGGACGCGTGACGTTGCCTCGCGATTAACCGGTACGAGATGCTCTATGAGGGATGTCCGTGGTGCGGCGAAGTAGGCCAGAGAAAAGCGTGAGCATTGAAGTCAAAAAGTGCGGTCCTAAACGTACAGCAGAGTCGATATCGATATAAGTGCGTATGGTCGTAAAGGGTTAAGCATTTTATGAATGAAGTGTGGTCGCTGAACCTTCCTAATCATTGTTCAATCTTTTGCATCCGAACCATCCCTCCGAGGTTGGCAAATTGGTACCAGACTTGTCTGGAAGGATAGTAGCACTGGCTCGATACATCGGTAGGCCACCGCCAGTCATTGTGAAGGTGAAGGCCAGATATGCATTCGATCACATCCAACGATGCTCAGTGAAGTAGAGTGCATGGTGCATCTTTCCGGAATTGACCAACGCCGAGAGCTTTACCCTTTCACTACATTTAAAGCATAGTTTAGCACTGCACTTGCTTTTATGCCTATTGGTGAAAAACTGGTTGACGGACAAACGCTCATAACATTCTTATTTCGAAGTACAGCCTTAACGAAGGGTAGCAAAGGACTCACTTCAACCCGTACGGTTGCTAGATAGCACATACTGCGGAAATACGCCTTTAGTACAGAAAAAAGTGAAAAAAGCTGCAAAATCTTGTCTATCTCATTGTTTGTGGTCCACACCTCAGTTACCTGCAGTGAAATGATTTAGTAAATGGTCTCGCGTGCACTGAGAGACGAAATACAGCGGAGGTAGCATCGAGTGAGAAAGTGCGCTCTACTACCTGTCATGTTGCCCCAACGATAAACCAGGACATCTTGTAAATGTTGACGAAGTCGTCTTGATCTGCGGGATGAACTGCTCCGTGTCGTTGACTGGTCGTGCTCTGAGAGTTCTGCAGAAGCGGATGGGAGGTGTGTTAAATGATTCGAATGTATGTCAACGTACTACTATGTCGATGGGCGAAGTTATAGTAAACCCATCAATTTTCGTAAGGTCTTGTACTACGTAGTGCATTGTAGGATGTATATAGTACTATAATACCATGGATGTGCATGTGCTGTAGTAGGTCTTGTACTGCAGTTCTACTTAGCGACAAATTTGGTGTCGATTCAAAATTTAGAGTTGCAATTTTGCTTCGACATTTATACCGTATAGAGGTTTCTGGTTGTAACCAATCCTTATCATAGAAGTGTGTTTATAGGCACTGGCCTCATGGTCCACCGTGACTCGGATGTGAATAACATTAAGACAAAATTCGAATTCAATGACGAGAATAAGAAACGGCTGGACGCCATCATCGCCAATTATCCTGAGGGCCATAAAGCTGCGGCTCTTATCCCTGCTTTGGATCTAGCACAACGTCAGCACGGATGGCTGCCCATATCAGCTATGCATGAAGTGGCTCGCATCCTTGGTCTGTTCCATCACATCCTCTTGCATTGTTCCTAATGTTTTATTTTCTTTTTCTTTCATCATTCCATTCTCATTCTTCCTTTTCTACATACTGTTGAGTTACCTTGCTTCGCGTTAGCTCTCCATCGTTCCAAGTTATCTCGGACGTTTTGCAGAAGTTCCACGAATGCGTGCCTATGAGGTTGCTACATTCTACACGATGTTTAACAGGCAGCCTGTTGGGAAGTATTTCATCCAGGTATTGGCTTTACTGTTTCTGCTTTGTTCCTCTTCCACCTGTAATTTGCAATCCTTTATGCGTATTACATTAGCGACCATGAGACATTGCTTGAGTAGAGAAATGACTGGTTCCTGCTTGCCTTTACCACGCTAAGGATATTTTTTCTAGATCTGTACTACCACTCCTTGCATGCTACGAGGTGCAGAAACAATCACTGAGGTGATAGAGAAAAATCTTGGTACGTAAGGTATCATATACAGTTGTAAGAAGTCTAGCTGTCGCCACTTTTTTTGTAGTTTTTTTTCTCTAGCAGATAAATTTCCATCTGTAGGTATTCATGTGGGTGAAACCACGAAGGATGGTCTTTTCACGTTGGCGGAAGTGGAATGCCTAGGAGCTTGCGCTAACGCCCCAATGGTACAGGTACGTGTGTTGGATAATTATTGATTGCTGTGAAGATCTAACCCTTTTAAATCGTGATTTTATTTTCTACAAGTATTCCAACTATTGGATTCTGTCAAATGCGAAAGCTCGCGTTTTCAGATAAATGATGATTACTATGAAGATCTTACTGAGAAGGACGTAGACGATATTCTATCTGACCTGAAAGCCGGACGCCGACCCCAACCCGGACCACGCTCTGGTCGCCTTGCTGCGGAGCCAATCGGAAAGCAAACATCGCTTACCGTAAGTTTGAATTTTGAACTACTTCGATGTTTTAACTACTGAACTGCTAGAAGTACCGAAGTAGTTTCGGGAATCTCGTCTTCTTTCTTTTCACGTAGCTGCTGTCGTTTAAAGCTGAACGACCGCGTCTTTTCCTTATTTACAGTACTTTGTAGCGCTATAGTATAAATACTTTTCTTCTTTATCGATGTCACTGTTTCTCGGTAGGATTTCATCAGTTTTACCACATTGATACTGGTCTTCGTTTTGAATTAGTAGCTTCACTGACAGCTTATCTATCTTTGATAAGGAAACTTGTTAATTTTCTTCTAGATTTTTGGAGTGCTTCGTAAACAAATACAGTGTCCTCACACTAATCCACCTATTAACCATCTGGCTCTTTTATAATTCATATCCTGTTTACCTTAATTCATCTGATTCAGTGCCTTTTCAGGAGGAGCCCACAGGTCCAGGCTTTGGTCTCCAGGCTGCTCTTAAGTAGATACCGTGTCGTATAGTCAAGATGTAGAATAAATGAATAAATATTACCGCTTCACATGTTTTTATAAATATCGCTTTCCCACTTGAATTGTCTATCTTTGGAGTGGCACTTATGTCGGGGCTTGATGTTTTGAGGTTTCTGGCAAGTATGACTTCCAGATCCTTCAATTTCAGATGAAAGTTGTCCTATTATTTTCCCAGCTTTATCCTAATTTCCGAATAGCCGAGCTACAAGGCATATGCGATGGATTGAATATAAACTTCGACGTCTCTCAAATTGACACTAAGGTATTTCGAAGTAGTTGGTCGATATTCTTCCTTATGTAGCATTGATTTGTTTCGCTCATTCTGTACTTGTCCCATTTGGCACACATATTAAGTGTAAGAGTTGGAAGGGCTTAGCTAACTCAAGAGAGGCGGAGAAAGAACACAACTTTTTTGTCGGGTAAGCATGTCAAGTTCAGCTTTGAATTTGTTCAACTAGACGTCCAGTCAGATATGACGACTTCCACGGACTGGATGATCAGTGTGTCGATCTCCCAATGCACATTGCACTAATACTCACAACCACTGACAGCGTAAATGAAACTCCAGAATCCCTTCAGCCCAGTTAGTGGAGTGTTACCACGGCGACCAACTATAAGTTACTCTCTTCTAGGGTCCTCTGTTCCTGGTGGATGTGCAGAGTGAAGACGACGTAAGGAAGTTGCTGTCGCGATCTCTTCTTCTAAAATCGGCTTATTTTTATATGTTTATGAGCAACTCTTATGAAGGTTTAAGTAACGAGATTACCAGCCATGAGGAGGTCTTTGAGGTATGTGCTATTGAAAGTTGTTCTTTGTAAACCATGGTGGAAATGTAAGCCTCACTTCTAGAATTTCGATCATCCAAGTAAATCCTTCTCTGTAGTGGTACGTCCTGTTGGTCGGAGGAAAGGCGTAAATTGTGTGAAAATGGCTTCGGTATGCTCAACTTTTGATTTCATTCTTTAGCAAAGTCAGCTTACCAGAATGCCTTCACCATCTTGAAGTGATTTTCTCTCCCTTATTTCATTTCCCTAGGAATTTGCTTCAATACTGCCGCTGGATGCTGCACCTGTAGATTTGAACAACCCCGATAACACTTTTACTGTTTTGGAAGAGTTTGCCAGTGCCGATGCTTTGGAACCAAATCAGCTTTTCTTTTGCAGATTGGTTTGTTTCCTTGATTTCGCTTTTACCTTCTTTGAACGAACAATCAAGCGTTTTCTACAGATTAGCCATGGTCAGGCCAAATTAAAAACGCTCTATGATATAAAGAGACGGCTCTACATTGGGAACACAACTATGGACCCAGAATTGGCCTTTATTCAGGTGCTTTTATTGAGGAGTCACAATATGATTTTTACGGTGCTGTTTAGTTTAGCTCTTGACAATATTGTTCCATTCTGTTGAATCCTAGTTGCTGCCAATACAGTTTGCTGCCTACTCTTTTGTAATGGTATTATATGAAATGTGCAATCTAACCATAATAATGCTGAGATATTTGCAAAACTCCACACCGCAGGTGTCTGCGGTGGGCAACGAACACGCTATTACCCTTTCCGTGTGCTAACGTGTTCACCGCCACACCATGCGGATCCTTCGTCTCGCCTTTCTCTCAGCCGTGTTATTGACCTATGGTGCTATCACCAATCACCCTTCAATGGGATCGAGGAGTATAACTGAGTTCTATACTGATTTGCCCTCCTCAGATCAATCCCGTTGGCGGGTGATTGCTGATAACACCTATGGGTCAATAGTACGGCTGAAAAAAAGACGAAACGAAGAATTCGCATGGTGTGATGGTGAACGCGTTAGGCCCGGAAAGGATAATATCGTGTTCGTTCTCCACCGCAGACACGAGCGGTTCGGAGTTGTGCAAATATCTCAGCACCATTATAGTGACACAGTTTGTATACCTGTTCGATTTCCTCAGTGTTTCAGAGTAATGCTTCTTCGGTGCGAGCTGATGATCTTGTCTTGGATCCTTTCATGGGTACAGGTAATATTGTTGTCATCGTCCTCAGAATTATGTGCTAACTTCACCACTTATGATTTTATGATAATTCGTTATTCCATATGAGGCCTGTCACTGATGTAGTTTAAAGCAAACACTTCTAACTGTTTTTGAAGGTGGTTTGTTACTTTCTGCTGCTGAATTTGGTGCTTACACTCTTGGAACGGAGATTAACTATCAGATTGCTAAGGCCGTTGGTTCGTTTATTTCCCTAAGTTTTTATTTCAGTTTATAAGTTTTTAAAACATGAAGTACTAGAAGAAAGTGGTTTCCTCACTTTTCCTACTATTTGATTGTAATGGCGCGTGAAGCGCAGTGCTTAGAGGCGTCCTGAAATACACATGGGATCAATCCCTCGCCCCAAGTTAAGAATACCTCTCCACCCATCCGCTGTCGGCAAAATGATACCACAGTTATTTGGATAAGACGCCGACTTAATCTGTAGGCCAATAAAAGTTATTTTGTGACCTAAATAAGTATCCAATATTTTTCACGGAACTTACTGACATCCTCCCAACGGTTTACCGCCTCATCGTGGCTGGAAGGTGTTCCTGGGTGTTGCGCTGCGATATACAGCGGAAAGATTCATCTTTCTGGCAGGGTCTCCCAAGCTGAGAAGGAGCCCGGCGTTTCCATCCCCTCCCCCCCCCCCCCCCCCCCCCCCATGGAAACCTAGCTAAAAGTAAACCAATACCAGGGTCCACCAGCGTCCTGGTATCAAAGTAGCATAGTGGCAAAGCTCCCTCTGATCCACGAGGACTGCGACTGCCTGTCGCTATCACCAACAAATTACGGTGCTTGTAGTGTGATTTAATTGTAGAATTCAAAAGTAAATCTCGTTGCATGGTGTTTTCTTTAGTTTTCTACTCTGAAATTATACAATCATCTCTGGATAAATTGCCTGGACGCTTAGAAAATAAATCGAACATAAAAGAGCTGCAAATTTAGCTATTCATCTATGCCGGTGACCTTCTTTAAGACCAGAAATCCTCGTATGATCATTATTATAACGAAGGTTTTCCATTCTGGTCTTCTCATTTCTAAATTCAGTGAACTGAGATAAATTTTCCCACCGTATATTGGTTACTGAATCCGTTCTTGTTCAAGAAATAGCTTTGAGGCTAGGGAAAGTGAAGGCCGTTTGCTGCTTCATCAGTCATATTGATGTGGTGTAGACGCTTTCCATACACTACTAGTGGTGACTGCGTGTGCTGCATTTCAAATCCGTAGTCCGGTACATCGCATTCACCGGTATTACTCATCTTGCTGTTCACCGTCATTTAGGGACTCACTGAGCACCACATTTTCCTCTGAGGATCTTCGTGAAGTATTCTAACCATTTTTTCGGCAGTCTTCCTGCTGTGCGATTCACATTCATTGGGACCCAGTCCCTTGCGTCTCTTGTTCACCGATTGACGTTTAGATGCATATTGTCCGGTCCATTTGATGCTGAACATTTTGGCTTGTATAGCAGTAACTCTGATCCTTAATCGTTGTCGTAAGTTGAAACTTTGGATTCCATCTTGCATTATGCTTGGTACTCTCAGCATCGTCATTTCGGCTGCGCTCTCAGGAGCGTTGAGTGGTCTTTCATACTACTTACTTGGTAACCAGGCTTTGACGTGTACTTTAAGAAAGAAAGAATATTAGAGTCGAAAAGTTGGGTACGGGACCGTGTGTTCTTCGCCATCTTCACTATATTCTCGATACTCTTGAAGGCTCACCAAGCCACTCGCTTTCTGCTCAGACCTGGATCGCAGTCCTATGTAGAACTCGTGGATCGCCTTGGTTATCGTTTCAGTTGGGTGCTCCGGGTTCGCCAAACCTACCATTTCCTTTAGGGTTAGCAAGTTGGTACACTTAGATTGCTAAGCGGATAGCAACACTGACTTGATACATTGCCACTGCAAGTCATTTTATAGGCAAATATGTATTCAGTCACCTCTAACGATGCTTATTGAGGTTGGATGCTTGGCATATCCATTAAGGATTGATCAACTCCATAGGTATGACTCACCGAGACAGTGTGTTGATGAAGACTAACAAATGGTTTTTAGATAGTCGGGTCTAATTTTCTTTAGAGCAGTCACCTTAAAGTTCTTTAGCGACGTAATAGCATATTAGATTTCATAAAGAGTACCATTGGTACATTATAGGTATCCTACCTTAGGACACGAAGCAGCTTCAATGATATCGAAGTAGAATTCCTGGATGGGCTCTATTACACTTTTCGGTGCAGGGGCCATTTCTTCTGCATGCCGAAAGGCGATGACACTAGTCTTGCAGTTGCCGTAGTCTAGTATACATAAATGCCTTCCTTTGTCTCCGAATTTTCCACTGCTGCTGCTCTTCTCTCGAGATGTTTCTCGCTTCTTTGTAGAGCAACCTAACATTCCGGTTAGAATATTTCCAGTTACAAGTGTTCCGTTGTGGTCTTCCAACTTTGCTTTCCAAACATAGTTGTGGTCATGTTGGTAAGCTCATGTTATTCCTCATCGATGTCATGGATAATTCTATCATCCTATACAGGTCCGCTAAGGAGTTGAACTTTCAACCTCTAATAGTTTTGGGGTTTCGTCTACTAGACGTAGCTGTTTTTTGTGTAGAAAGAGAACCTCATTTTTTTAGAGATACGATGGTCCGGTATGGCATAAAACTGTGCGACATCAATTACATCGGTTAGAAAAAGTCTTTGATCTGCGGTGATCTGGTCAACTTCATTATTTTACTCTTCGGAAGCCCCACCCCCACGCCTAACGTTGAGAGTACGGTTGCTGGAATTGTGATTTACCACGAATTTCTTGTCTTGGTTTTCATGATATAAACAGGTCTTGCCTAGTGATCTTACTTAGTCCATTCTACTCTGTGCAGCCCAAACTAAAATTTTGCGGAGTTTACGGTGCACTGCGTCGATTTGTTGGCAATACTTTGCCGTAATCGTTCCGCCCAGATCCAAAAGGTGATGAATCAGCCCTGCTGTAGACCACCAAAAAGTCACCGCGACTTTTTGGTGCAGTTTCGGCTTTTGAAAGTGCTGTGGAGCCTGATCGCAATCCAACCGTTGAGCTGAACGTCGCCAATTGTTTACGGGGTCCATTGCTCATTGCATTTCACAATTCGATCAAGAAAAAGGTCGTTCCTGTTGCACAAAATAGAAGCAGACTGCACTTCAAAACCACGATTTTTTTGATTACCTTGTAATTCATGCGGCACCCACCTTTCGAGTTTTTTTCATTTTTTTATCTTTGCTGTGCGATTGAAGTGAGTGGAAATTCTTCCTGTGCTCACGCCAAGCCGTCCTGCAAGCTCCCGAACATTTTTTCATGTGTTTGCTTCCACTAGTGCCTTCAGTTCGTCATCGTCAAGTTCATCGGGATGTTTGTGGCCTTCTGTAACTTCGAAGTCGAAATCACCAGATCGGAATTTCCGAGACCATATTCGCAATGTTGATTCACCAACACTACCTTCATCTCAAACTCGATAATATTACGAGCTCCTGCCGCGGCATTTTGTCCACTCTTCCACTCGTACAGAAGACGGATACGAATATCACGTTGATTCATACTAAAGTTAAAGCCTATAAAAGTGTTGGAATAATAAATCTTGGAAAAAACAATCACTGTATATAGAAAAAGTAGACTTTGCGCTTCAAAAATGTATATGAAACATATATAAAGAATAACATCTTTATTAAAAAAAAAATTACACGGAATATTAAGACAATAAAGTCGGACATTTCATACGTACCAACCCAGTGTAATGTGCATCATTCCACATTAAGTCGGGTTATCAAGGAATTGATGGCCGTCGTCGAAAGCCCATGCTATCATGAATGAATCACTTTCTTTAAAAACCTGAGGTGAAAAATGGGTTTGAAATTCTCCGTTATCTGAGTAATCTGCTATTCTTTTCATTGATCGTGAACTCTAACAGAATTTATTGATTGATCTATCAGTGCAAAATAGTTTGCGATACATATCGAGATTGATAATTCACCATTTTTCTTCACGGGCAAACAACGTTTTTATTACAGCATTTATTAATACGGTACCTGACGTCTCGGCGATTTCGCCTCCTTCGGAGCCAGGAGAGGTCATATTGGCACGCAATCTACTTAACCAAACACTTTCGTAACCTGAGCAAATAAAGAATAGAAATCTGTTTATCGTTGGAGTAAAAATTCTTGCATTAAGTTTTGTCCGCTGACGTAATGAAGCTTTGACTGAGTAGAGGGCATGTCACCTTGACCTTTCCAAGCTTTGGAGAAGGTGAAATCGCTGAAATATCTGGCGTTGTGTATTAATAAATACTGTAATAACAACCTCGTCTTTGCTCATCAAGAAGACAAGGAGCTTTAGAAAATCACTTTCGAAATACTTTCGCAAAATTGGGCAAAGAGAATGATGCTGTGGCAGAAAAACGATCAAATACCAGTTTAAAACCAACCTGCGGTTTATCCATGATGCAGATGATCAACGATCAGTGCCGATGTTAAAACAAAGTCGGTCTTGGGATATGGAAATTAGTTATTCAAATGGAAAACTTCTTTATAATCTTCTTCTTCTGCATTTCAAAACCGGTTTTCTGTTAAACCCTGAACGACTGATCAACATGTATTTTCTTTTCGATGGTAAACTAACACGGTGTTTATTAAAAGTTTAATAGAGAACTGGAATAAAGCCTATGCTTTTTTCTGTATTCCAGGTTATTCTCGGGTACTACTGTTTTCGCTCAATTTCCTGTTTTTTTCGAAAGATTACAAATCCCTTCGTCTTTATTTATCACCCATTTGAATTAGCTAACTGCAAGTTGCTAGGAACAAAGTCAACAAGTCCTTAGAGCTATTCAGCACGTTCTTAGGTTTTTCGACAATTTAACACAATTTTCTGATAATCAGAGTGTTTGAGAATCTCGTGGTTTGACAAGTCTACAGAGGAGGCTTTAAAATATTACTTTAAAGGCATAAATAACTTTTCAAAGATGGATGCTCTTTCAGTTCCAATTGCTTTCATAGTTGAAGTTTGCAAGAATTGGAAAAGATTTGGGGTAGTGAAGCGTTCTATGAGATTCAAAATATCAATTTTATCATTATGGAAAGAAAATAAGTGTCTATTGTTCACAAAGTTCTGTGGTCTGTAATGTTTTTTTTTCCCTCGTCAGTTAACAGTATTCAGGACGAACTATGGGACTTTTGTTTGGAGTTGACAGGAGCATTTCTGGCACACATGTACTATAATCACCGCAGTGAATGCCTAGTGCGTCCGTTACGACTCGGATTGATAAGATTCTTTAGGGAAGTCCTCAAGACATGGTGTTTCCATGCGCTCTACGAGGGAAAGCGTCATGGCGAACTTCGAGCAGTATGGCACTGATCGTTGCTTCCTGAGTGGCATTCTGGCTGACGCTTGCTGGCATGATCTCTGGGCTAGGCCGCTGTTCAACGCTATTATTACGGATCGTGCGTTAGTTTCTACATTTTATTACAGTGAACTATACTAGGGTACTTGAATGACCTGTCTTCACTGGTTGTGCGGGTACCAGCATGATTTCCATTGTTTCGGAGTTTTGCTGGTTTAGCTATCCCAAAGTCAAAGGCGGATCGGTGGGAGATTTGCCACCATGCGACTAGTTTGATACCAGGATCGTGGTGGATCCTAGTATTCGTTTACCCTTAACTGGGCTCTCTGATGGAAACGCCGGTCTCCTTCTCAGCTTAGGAAACCATACTGGGGGACGAATCCTCCCGGTGTACATAGCAGCTCGACACTCAGGAATACCTCCCAGCTACGGTGAGGCGTTAAACCATTGGTAAGACAGAGAACTATAGCCGTGAATTAAATTGAAGGGGTTAAAATATTGCATTATTTATGGACTATAAAGCCAGAACTATATGGACTATGTTTTCATATAAAATATTTACACGAAAATCAAGGTTCGCGAGTTCTTGATGGTTTTGCAATTATTTAGCTAATTTTTAATCGGGGAAAAATTCCAGTGATAATCTTTTCCCTGTCGTTATCCTATCAATCTAATTTTTGAAGAAATAAAGTGCACCGTCTTCTACATGTTATAGATAACTACATGAACTGGGAACCTTTTTGATATGAACGAGCAGATATTCCTAGTTTAAAGATTGCTGAATGTCATTTTTCATTGTAGCACCATATGGAATTCGCGAGAAAGGTCGAAAAATCGGAAAGAAACCAAGAGGAGACCACTGGACTTTGTCAAAGGCTGAATGGTGAGATGTGATTTATCCTTTGCCTTCTTTTCCACCTTCAGATGAAAACTTTCAGCGAGTACCACTTTCCCGAAAAACAGCCGTATTCATTGGAGAGCACATTCATTGATTTGTGTGATCTCGCTGCAAAAACACTACTGATTGGATCTAAACTGTCTTTCTGGTTTCCCACAATCATTGACAGGTGTAGTGCAGGATTTTTCAAGATTTATTTACCGAGTAATAGATGAAGTAAGGCAAAACTAGAGCATTTATACAAGGATAATCCAAGCTTTTCTTTGTGCTCTATAGTTTTTTCTTCTGCCAATATCTGTATCTTCTGAACTGACCTTGTTATTGTTACGTTGGATTTAAGTGCCAGCTAATCGGACCAGTTTAAGCCTATTCGGAGATATTCTGGGAAATTCCATATAACAAATGTGTGAAGGATATAAAAGAGCACGTTCGAATGAAGAAGGTAACGTCATGCGGCAGATCGACTTATTGGGGCCATCATATTCAATGTCCATCGATTCTAGACCACAGCACAGACGACCACTTTAAAAGTCGCCATCACGTTTGGGTCTGATACTACTTGCGAGCGACAGTACGGTTCTGACTCATGCACTCTGACGAGTGCAACACAAACTGAGGTAACTCGCTTTGATTTTAGTGTACCACCGCCATGGACCACCATCTAAACAAGTAGGCAGCCGCCAAGTGAGGTCTTGTTAAACACTCCGCACCATGATCGCATACGATGCATTCGGCTACCTGTGAAATTTCTGCTTTACCAGCACTGACCGGATTTTGTGGACAAGATCGTGAATGGGAAGTGAGGGCTTCCTTCGCTGTCAGAACACTCATTGATGTACTACCGACTCAATGGAAACGCAATTCATAAGGTCTCTGGTCGACGATTTCCGTTTCCCGGTTCTCACATGGCATGGTGTTTTGAGAATTGCTGCGACGAAACAGAACTATTTAACACCTACTCCTGCACAAAGCAGCTCTTGAAGTTGCAACTACGATGAAGGAAAAGTATATCGAAACTACTCAGAGTCCAGCCATCACATGAAAGCGCATCCTTCAAGTCGTGAACTTGATTTGCAGACAGCCGAATGAGCTAGATTGAACTATCGCATCTCACCCTGAATTATAATCTGAGCATGTTATCCTCGATGATCATTACCATGGCTGTTGTGTTGTGACTAATCGAACTAAAAACCTAAGCTTGAAGACGGTTTTAATTGTGAAGAACGGAACTGGCGAAATCAGTAAGGACTTGTGTTTGAACACAACACCATTTGTATGGGTACATACGTACGTGAGTATAGCTGTTTGTAAACCAAAATACCCTATGTTGGTTTTAGTAAACCCGATAGGCAGCCCGTTAATAAGTCCAATCCCTTGCCAAAAACCTCGTCGAATTACCCGTAGCTACTTTATCGACAGGAACGCTAAAAATAAAGGGCCTTGTAAAAAAAAAAATGCGTTGTTCTTCTTGTGTATCTCGAGTAAGCGGGATCCGCTGTCCATATTGTGGCTTTGTTGATCCTTGTTCAAGTTACTTGCTGACTTACAAGATTTCAGTTAATGCAGATAATATATTTTTCATTTGTTTAATTTTATTTGATCCGTCTTCACATTTGCTGTAGGGATCCCAGCACTTTTCACATTCAATTCGCTTCCTCGCGTCTACCATCAACGAAGGTCTTCCAACTTTTACGCGTGGCCTTCGGTTACTGCTTGAGAATTTCCATTTCATCTTGAATGTCGTAGAATGCTGATCGAACAATTCTCCCTGGAGTTCTGATATAGCCGGACTGAAGCATTCCCAACTGGGTTGCAGAGAGGGTTTTTTTCTCCCCAGATAAGTCCAGTACCAACTCCTATAAGTCCGGATGATACATTAGATCAAATTTATTACTTATATAAGATGCACGACGTTTGGAATGTTGCGCCTAATGCCATAGTAAATAAAGCATGAGATAGCTAGTAAAAATCCAGGTGCGAGGTGGTAAAGAAGAGTTCATGTAATTAGGTTTATGTGATTGTAGTCACTTTGAAGGCCAGTTACATTGCTATTTCTACTCTCATTGGAAAGATTGCTTTTCTTTTACATTCATTGTTCCGGAAACTTCTCAACTGCGTTGATCTGGCAAACTTATTTGTGCCATCCATTATAGAAAAAGGTATAATCGATGTTTTAAGCTATTCGGAAGATTGTCTACCTGTACACCCAGCATTAAGACTGGTTGCAAATTGTGAGCAACGTCTCTCTCGTAAAACTAGCAGGTAGTTCCATTTTTTGGTTAGTTTTGGTTTTTAGACTGATAAGCAGTGCTTTCAAGGCGATTGTTGGTTTACCAGAAATATCGTGAAGCTCTACCTGATGAGCGAGCATGGTGTCCTGCCAGTCACTTTCAGAATGCGAGCTTTCGAGATGTTACATTTACACCGAGGCTGGCTCTTTAAGTTATCCACGGAGAAGTTTTCCATTGATGCGTCTTTCACGTGTTGTTATGTTCGTTGTTGAGCTAGCGTTTATGTCGAGATCTCTACTTGTAAAGTCTGAAACACCACCGTACTATATCTTGTGCCTTATTTGATTGTGAACTGAGAGTCCTTAGAAGGACTTCTTTATGTCCGTGAAAGAATAGCGTCCATGCTTCGCAGCTTGATTTGATCGATATCAGGGCAGATTTTTGTGACTTCTACAATACAAGTGAAATTTCACGATATGTGGAGACATTTGTATATTCAAAAAAAACATCCTTCGCCACTCAGCTCGATTGTGAAGTGTTTTGATCTACTCCAATGTGGTAAAACAGTAGTCTTGGGAATATCCTCGTAAAGCGCGACACGAAACAGAGTCTCACCACTACTATCCTTTTTTGAAGGCGAACTCTGACATGAGAACTTGAGGTCAAAATTGAAATAGCTATCATCATTTGATTTTTTTGACCTAATCACTTTCGAAGACCCTCAGAACAATTTCTGCGAGTAGTCAAATCGAATAGTCGCGGGTTTCAAAAGGACGATAGCATCGAGAGGCCGCACGATAAATTTTGAACACTTCGTGTAAGTATAACGTTAAGCTGTGCTACTGATTTTCACTTCAGTTTCTTCGACATCCGTGTTTAAAAGACCGTGTTTCCAATCTTAGATGCATTGTTTTGCGCATTTCCTGTTCTATCCGAGAGCTGGTAAACAGTATATAGCGGTGTGGTGGTTTAAAACGAGATTAAACGTTACATATAATATTGGCACTATCAAGGAGTCTTAAATTTATCGTTTGTTAGAAGTGTCGTAGCGAACAAGTAGCGTAGTGATGGTGGTCATCACGACTGCTGCTTTGTTTCAACCCCTCACCGGGCTCACCAAGCCTGGCATTCTTTCGTAGCATGGAAATTGCTACCAGACTTTGAGAAAATGTCCAATCTTTGCAACCTACACAGGTTAGTCCGGTTATCTCAGATCACCAGGAAGAATCGAGTCGACTAGCATTCAATGACGTTCATAACGAAAATGGTAGTCCTCAAGCAGCAACCGAGCCCACACGCAAAAGTTCCAAGTGTTTCGTGGGTGATGGTCGCGAGGAAACGACTTGAATGCAAAAGCTGCTAGGTTCCGCAAAATAAATGTCAAAAACGTTTCGTATGAATAATTAACAATAAGTGATGAAAGTTTCTTTTTCCTGGTTACTTATCATTCTCACAAAAAATTCTTACCGGAGAGAATAGAACTAGTTTGCGAAGGATCAAACAACGAGGAAATTTATCACTATGCTAGGAATCTTCATCTGTATCAGTTTCAAAGTAGATCCATATCGACGTCAACGTGAAAAACGACGCAAATGAAGAAGGAATGGCATCAAAGACGTTTTTAAACTGTTCAATTTTTTTTAGATCTCATTATAAAGTGAAGTATAACGAGGAAATTTTTAAGTGATGGCTTTCCTTATGTCCTGGCTTAGACGAGCTTAGTGTAAACTTTTATTCGGCTAACATTTCGGCGTCTTCGCCTTCCTGAGAGCCACTTTGATCCTCGTTGATGGTCCATAGCTAGTTGCTGTCGCGTTGTGGAATGTTCGTCGTCCCATCGAATCGAATCCTAATGGAACGAGCGGAGCTCGAATGGATCAACGCGACTCTGAAGAAGTCGAAAGCGCCGAAACTTGTTCATACCAACCTCGTGTTAGCTAAATCGTGTGGAAAATTATTGGTCATTGTTACCGAGCTTTAGTGAAAGCAAGTTTCTAAGATATTTGAGTGGCCTTGGCAGCTGTGTTATTTATCACTGGATGCTGGTATTTGCTGATCACAGTAATCACATAGGTTATGGCTAAATCAGAGTAAGTGGTTGTCGACGTATGCAGTTGTTAGGAAGGTTTGGTCGTTCCTATTTTCTCCATGGTCCCATCTGTTCATCCTCTTCCAACAGCAGTTTTGTTCAGCGCGCTCCCGCTATCAAAAGGACCTTTCGTTTTACTTAATCTGTAGTCATCTTATTTCCTTGAATCTTAAAGTGCGCTGTATAGATTGTGCAAGTATTTATTGTTTAGTGGTGAGTGACGATAATGCCATTTTCTTGCATTGGTCAGTAAACATAATGTCAGACAATTCATCAAACGGTAGTAGTTGTAAGTTTTAGTGATATAAAACTTTTCTTTGTTCCTCTAACTAAACACCGTAATAAAAAATAATTTATTAACTAAGCAACCATTTATTTGTTAAAGGAAAGTCTGAAGTGTTTTATGGTAAAAGATTTGACTTCTTACAAAATAAGCACACTTCAGTTGATAAATATAACGTTGGAAATTCTCAAAGTACTTTTTGCGCGAATGCTAGCGAAATGGCAATAGTGGAAACAGCGGTAAGAGAATCACGTGCTGCTTTTGTATGACTTGTTGTCGTCGTTTGGTTTTGAGGTGTCGTTGTGTTGCCCTGAGTTATCCCCGCTGAGTCTTCACTTGTGTTTTTCTGGTCTTCAGCATTCGTTGCTGGGTCTTGAGCTTCCGTTTTGTGGACTTGAGTTGTTGCGGGGTCTTCGGTTGTTACTAGGTCTTGAAGTGTCGTTTTGTAGCCTTGGGGTGTCGTTTCCGCCGGAGAAGAATTTGCTGAACTAGTTGTTTTCTGCAAAAATATAATTAGAGGGATTTTTTTATTAGCATAGGTTATTCCTTATTCAAATTCCTTCTTTAATGTTAACTTTTTGTTTACTCTCTACTACAGTATTTCACTGCAGGGTATTATGTGAAATACAATCACATTGATGCTCAGATATTTGCAAAAATCCGGACCGCGGGTGTCTGCGGTGGAGAGCGAGCACACTATTACACTTTCCGGTGGCTAAGGTGTCCACCACCACACCATGTTAGATGTAGAACTGGCTGAGAAAAAGGCGAAGTGAAAGACCAACATGGTGTGATGGTTAACGCTTTGGCCCTCGTAAAGAGTAATAGTTTTCGTTCCCCACCGCAGGCACCTGTTGTCCGGAGTTCTTCAAATGTCTCAGCATCATTGTGGTTGCTTTTCTTTAATATTTTCAAGGAGGCAGTTGGGCGTTTGTTACATATTGGCTGCTTTTCTCAGGATTTAAATTTTGACGTTCTGACTGAGATGGATTACAGGCGGATCTTTCTTGCCTATCTTTCTACGGTTTTCAAACTGAACGTTCCATGTGTCCAAAAAAGATTAAGCTTTTTATCTAGCTAAACAAGTTATAATACTTTATACTGCATCCATCATTCACGAAAAAGATTTGTGTGAGCTCGGCTACAGTTTAATTTCTATTTTATTTCTATTTTCCTATCTTTTACTACAGTAATGGAGCGCTGGTCGAATCTAAATCTTCATGAAATCCGGAAGGTAATGCTATCACAGTGTCCCCATATCTCCACCAGTAACAGTCACCGCCTTGTGGATCATACAGAGCTTTTCCGAGAGAAGACTCGTACCAATCTGCCGAACCCAGAGAGATGGTAGCTTTGGATTCTATGGACCAGTGTTGAACCAGTGAACCAACGTGTATTACACGGGACCTCTAACCATTGCACTTCCAGTCCACCATTACACGAATAACTACTGGAAAATTTAGAAGCCTACTAATGAATATATTTACTGATTGTTACAATTTGCTGATTGACACACTTATGGATTTCAATGTCCAAGGCTAAATTCAGTGTGCAGTAGTGTTTTAGCTCTACTGTCTTTGTGCTCGATTTTTTTCTTTTCCACTTATTTTAATATAGTGGCTAATTAGATTTAAGCCATTAAACTTTGAAAACATCGTGACCTTTATGTATCTGTTGCTCAACTCACTCTACTATAAAATAACTCACATGTTCAGGTGATGTTTGTTCAGTAGACGTCATCTGTCCACTTCCTTCATCAGATTTGTTTTCTGAAGTTGTTTGTATTGAATAATGAGAAACAAAGGTGTTCTGAGCTACATCTATCAGTAATTATAGCTCGTTATATCACTTCATCTGCAATATTATCTTGACGAAAGCCTCCTCACACTACAAGGCCTCTGTACGGGAACACCGCGTCGCGTTACAAACGCGCCAAAACGCTCAAACTTCTCAAGTTGAATGCATAAACGAACGCCTTGTTGGAAGAAGACGTTTTCTTCTCACTTCAGATATTGATGGCCGAAATCGCAATGCTTTATTTTTTGTTTAGCGCATATTTCTTTTTCCTGGTAGGATACAATGTGAACTACAACCACAAGGATGCTAAGATATGACCAAAACTTGGAACTACAGGTAAAAAATAATAAGCAGTAAATATCATGACGTGATTTCGACTACAGCTGCAGTTTAATTGGGTTTATTGCCGATTTCTGCTAATGGCACCAATAGAGTAAAAACATGACAGAAAAGGCCAATCAACGGCCTCAGTTGGTGTGCTACAACGCACGGGAGATCCCTGTAAGGCTAATCGCGGGATCAAGGCTCACTTGAAATTCCTAACTTTGCTCATATCTCAGTATCCTTATGAGTGATGGTCGGTTTAGGTTCTGTAGTCAAACACCTTCAAACAAAAGATGCCTAGTGCATCATCTTTGCCTGAATATGTTCGACTACCGATAGTTCTCATTCCATTGTGAATGTGTTTTCGTTTTCCTTCAAAGGAAATGACTCACATGGATGGAATTCCTTCTATTCCAATAATTACTTTCAGTAATATACCAGTTCACCCATGGCATTTTTGTACACGTTTGCCGGTCCTATCGTATAGGCTATGGTGTGGTTCAAAGCTTAACACCTCGTTACTGAGAGCCAGACGAAAAGCTTTTCGCAGATTGATAAAGTAGGCGGAAAGTAGAGACATGTACTGATAAGGATTTTCGATACAATCTCTCAATTGGCGCGTTAATTTTTCTTTATACGTTGACTTATAACTGAGTATGATCACCCTGACCCATAAAAACTTAGAACGAGTGGTTACGAAGTTTCTGCCAAAATCGCG